TGCCCCGTGATGCTTTTATACATGACAAGAGAACCAATCTGGTTATTATGTTTATCATACAGTAGCTTTTTGCCCGAGTTTCTGGATGAGGAAAGAAAAAGGTTCACATGGATCATGGGTTAAAATGTTTTAAGAACCTCTGGTTTAAAGCCTAAAGCATGTTCCAAGTACATTTATCAAGAATTATCATAACCTGACAACCCATGAATGAAAACTGGCAAGCAGCCATGCTCAAGCTTTGAGGATTAGATATTTTTAATGACAGTTTTTCTTCTCTGTATCATCGTAAGCATTTACACGTACATAGAGATTAATCAGACAGAAATAAGTTTGAATATTTCCTATTTTAACAGGTGCTTATCTCTTCATGGTAATAGAGATAGGTATCCATAGCAACAAACCAATAAAAATGTACCATGCATTGCTAGGTATTTCTAGATTTTGCAATAATTTGCAAAGTCTTTAAAAGCTACATATATAAGACTGAATAGCAGCCAATGTGTATTTAAGGTCCAATGCATCGGTTAGCAGTTACCTGGCTCACAGCACTGAGCCTTTGTTAAGCAGTATCGTATGTTATTCAGTACCTCCAAGATGTCGCAGTAGCAACAGTTAATGCAAATTCAGCAGTCTCCCTAAGTTCTGTGACCTTGAAGTTTTGTCCAGTCACTGCAACGTTTCAGCAGATTTGACCAATCATCATAGTTTGCTTTGAATTTCACCCACCATATCATCACAGCAGTCCTCTGCTGATAATGTTGTTTCATATATCACCAGAATCACTTCCTGCTTTCAGGTTGTGAAGATGCAGACTTGTGATGTATTTACCAGAAATAATTACTACTGGCTGGCCAATGCAATTCTTTGATGTCATGCACAACAACCGAGGGAAACTGTTTTGTGCCTTGTGCAACATTGAAGTGAAACAGAAAGAAAAGGCTTCTTCATCATCATCAAACACTTTTCTACCTTAAAACTCACCCAGAGAATGCAGGGATGACAGCCAAGACAAATCACCGTGACAGAGGCTGTTGCATGCAGATCTATTGCAAGCACTGAAAGAATCTAGGAGCATGGTTAGTTGCACCATACCTTAAGAAGCAGTGTGAACTGTGTGTGGGTGTATGCGTGTTAAAGACAGTAGTTTAAGGAATAAAAAAGTCTCACTTTGTCTAAACATGGTTTAAAAGATTTATTCAGAATGTCAATATTGAGTTGGATGTGTAATGAAACCAGAGATACTAAACCTGGTACAAGGGTTGCAATGATACTGGTATCGAATATCAGGCCAATACCACCCTCTACGACTTGTACTCATACTCGTGTTCTAGGATACTATGCATGATACAATTTAACGTGATTTTACATCAACCTCACGCTGGCTGAGCAGGTATTTAGCAGGGGGCTGAAGAATTTCAGCAGTTTGGTGGTATTTTAAGAAGTGATGACAGCAACAATAAAGCTGACACAGGCCATACTCACTGTGTCAGTCAAAGGTGATTGAAAGGGAGGAGAAGCACAGCACAGTAGAGACGAGGCTGCATGCGCATGATGTCAGTAGACAATACACACAACAAAGTCCACCAGTTATGGAGACAGTTTGAGCAATTTTTGAAATGTCATTTGAACAAGCAGGACACATACTTGCATAAATGTGGTGTCTTCAACCTCCCTGCATTCAGCTGGCCTGGTGCCCTGTTCACCCACTAAACACATACTATGCTCGTTACGCTGACTGTAATGAATTGCTGTGAAGGAGAAGAAAGCGCATGCTAATTTTATGTAGTTAACGGTTGAGTTGAATGAGCTCTGTGCATGAAAATGAGTTGAATCCTTGTGGACTTGATGGATGAACAGCTCATCTACAGCAGTACAGGTATGCTTCCAGCAGACAGGCTTCTGTCATCCAGAGAGGATGATGCCGCTGACAGTAGACAGTTGCATGTAAGAGCCTGCACCCTTTTAAATTACAATTTTAAACTGCTTACTGTGACACTATGCACTCCTAAAAAGAGCTAAGCATCACAGCAAGAGCACTGCATTATGTTGTGTAGTACTGAAATGCAGTCACTTCCACATTGGTTGTTACTGATGTGTTGCCATGTTTTGTTTGCACAGAAAGTTTATGTCAGCTGCAGCTTCCTGTTGTGTATTTTATGTAATCACATTGAGAAAGTAAACACGAACTCATGACTAACTTCAGATTTTTTTTTTAAGAGTAAAAGTCATAAGCCTGTTTCAGACATTTTTCTGACTTGAAGCTGTCGGGTACATCAAAGCAGCTCTTTGGACTTCAGTCTCTTTAGGATCAGCAGTGATTTCACAAAATCACTTTGTCACTTCTTTGTCTTTTTTTTATAAAGGAGCGTAAAAATGTGTTTTAAGCACTCCTGTACAACCTAAGTTTTGTTAGAAAGAAACAACAGCATGGACACTGAGAGGCACCGCATTATTTATTGTGTGCCATCACAAATCACACAAGTCAGAGTGGTTTAAAAAGTTTGGTGGGTCTGTCGGAGAAATAGTATCAAGCACCTCCCCAGGGCCAATGGGATCATACTGGTTTAGGAGGGTGTCAGTGCTAAAATGCCTGCTGTAATATTTTACAACCTGCATGAAATTCCATTTCAGCACCACTATCAAATGACTAAAACCACTGTGGACTGCCACTGCAATTCTTTGCCTTTAATACCAAATTTAAAAATAAAACACGGATTTTACCACCAGAGTACTGGAGCTCTAAATTGGAGCTCACATCTAAAGACCGGGATCAGACTGTGGATAAAATGGTGCTCCAATAATTTGCAGAGAAATTCTCTGTGTAAATGAAATGACACAGAGGGAACACATCAGATTAAGGTCAGTTTTAATGTGCTGACATTTTTTTATTTCGATTTATTCAATTCAGTTTTATTTGTATAGCACCAAATCACAACAAAACTCATCTCAGGACACTGTACGAAGTAAGGTCTAGACCTTATTATTATAAGGAAAAGCCAAACAAATACCCCTTGAGCAGCACTTGGCGGCTGTCTTTCTCGACTCTTCTGCTATGTTTGACATCATCCAATCTCTGTCCTCTGCCCCTGTCTCTGTTTTCATCTGTCACTTTCTTGCAGCTTATCAATCACTTTGATCAGCACACCTTCCTGTTTTTTAGGCCTTCTGCTACTTGTATTTTAAAATGCAAGATGGATGGACACAACAAATCCATCTGTCCATTATCCCTTCCTTTGCTCTCCCTCCTCCCTCTCCAAATCCGTCCCTGTTTTATTCTCTCCGCGAAGAGTCTGAGTTGTTTTCCATTATTTATTTCCATCTCTTTGTCCGGCTGGTTTCTGCTGTCACACAGACACGCTCACATGTGA